TCCTCCTCCTCGTCCTCGTCCTCCTCCTCCTCCTCCTCCTCCTCCTCCTCCTCCTCCTCCTCCTCCTCCTCCTCCTCCTCCTGGTACTCCTCCCCCTCCTCCTCCTCCTCCTCCTCCTCCTCCTCTTCCTGGTCGTCCTCCTCCTCCTGGTCGTCCTCCTCCTCCTGCTCGTCCTCCTCCTCCTCCTGCTCGTCCTTCTTCTCCTGCTCCTCCTGCTCCTCGTCCTGCTCCTGCTCGTCCTCGTCCTCCTGGTCTTGCTCGTCCTCCTCCTCGTCGTGCTCTTGCCCCTGCTGAAAATGTGGCCCAGGAATGGGAGTTCTGGGAAGTCGAAGAGCACGAAGTTGCCTACAGTTGGCTACGGGCATTCAAAATGTGGCCCGGGAATGGAGTTCTGGGAACTCGAAGAGCACGAAGTGGCCTACAGTTGGCTCCGGGCATTCAAAATGTGGCCCGGGAATGGAGTTCTGGGAACTCGAAGAGCACGAAGTGGCCTACAGTTGGCTCCGGGCATTCAAAATGTGGCCCGGGAATGGAGTTCTGGGGAAGAGCACGAAGTGGCCTACAGTTGGCTCCGGGCATCCAAAATGTGGCCCGGGAATGGAATTCTGGGAACTCGAAGAGCACGAAGTGTGTGACTGTTGCATCCGGCCCTCCAAAATGTGGCCCGGGAATGGCGTTCTGGGAACTCGAAGAGCACGAAGTGTGTGACTGTTGCATCCGGTTATTCTAAAGGTGGCCCGGGAATGGCGTTCTGGGATCTCGAAGAGCACGAAGTGTGTGACTGTTGCATCCGGTTATTCAGAATGAGCCTGGGAATGGAGTTCTGGGAACTCGAAGAGCACGAAGTGTGTGACTGTTGGTGAAAAACGAGCTCGGCACAGTGCCGCCCGGCAGCTCCCAACACCTGCCCGGACCCCCCTGTGGAGTGATCTGTGAGCTCTTTTGACACTACTAGAAACCTATCAGTCTTCGCTGTTAGGTAAAAACCAAGCATAGAAAGTGTTTGGTGCCCTTGGTGCAAGGAAGCGCTGTGTATGTTTGGTTGTTCTGGTTGTTTGGTCTAGGTTGCAAGTGAACGCTGCGTATGTTTGGTTATGTTGGTTTCTCGGGCATTAGAAGCTCAAGTGCTCCCCGCTGCCTCCCCCCAACACCTCCTCCTCCTCCTCCGGAACTGCACAAACAGATGGAAAATATGGCATAACCGAGAATACACGGTTTTCTTGCATCCTAGACCAACGAAAACCATAACAACTCAACATACACAGCGTTTCCTTGCACCAAGGGCACCAACCACTTTCTATGATTGGTTTTCTTGCTTTGCAGCAAGGAGGAAAGGAAAGGAGGAGAAGGAGGGGGAAAGAGGAAGGGGGAGAAGGAGAACGCGCTGGGCGGGAGGCCGCGGGGAGCACTTGAGCTTCCAAAACCAAAAACAAACATACAATGTTTCCTTGCATCCTAGACCAAAAAACCACACAAAAAACATACACAGCGTCTCCTTGCTCCGAAGGCGCCAAACACTGTGTTTTCTTGGTTGTGCGTTGCCACAGAGAGAAGCAAACGGAAAGGAGAAGGAGGAGAAGGATGATGGTCGAGCAGGAGGAGGAGGAGGAGGAGGAGGAGGAGGAATTGTGCTTCGAGAAAGCGGAAAGGGAAAAGATAAAGACAAAGAGCGGAGAAGGAAGAAAAGAAGGAACAAAGAAGCAGAGAGAGGCATGATCTTGGAGGGGGGGGGACCAATACACATATATATATATAGAGAGAGAGAGAGAGAGAGAGAGAGAGAGAGAGAGAGAAAAAAAAAAAAGAGAGAGAGAGAGAGATAGAGAGAGAGAGAGACATACAGATCTGCCTGGGAGATGCCGAGGTGACGGAGTCTTGGCGCGTTTCGAGGTCGAGGTGACATCCCTCCCTCCATTCCTCCCCTCTTCTCGGTAGCCGCCCACGTCTGTGCAGGTGTCCAGGCACAAAAAAGCAGCATCTGACCCCCCTCCCTGCCCAGCGCATCCTGAGAATATATTGTCAGAGGTACGCGCGGATGTCTCGGGCCTGCGCTGGCCCCCCCCACCCCGCGCCCCGGCGACGCCTCCGGCGCCGTGTGGCTGTAGAGCTGTTCCAGATAGACATCTTTCTATACGTGCGGCAAAGGAAGACAGATCCCGCCCCGCCCCGCACGCCTTGCACACCGCGGCCGCCAGGCCCGAATGGAGGGGCCCTGGGACACACAAATGAATACACACAAATAAAAACATTCCCCATATGTTTTCATATTTTCTGGATTTTCGTCTCCCCCCTCCCACTTGCCATATTTTTCCATATTTTCTGGGGATCGACGATTAATTGTGTCTGTGTGTTTTTGTTCCCGCTCCTGACCAAAGTCCTCCTGTGCTCCCTGGGTTTCCCGCCCCGTGCCTTCGGCGGACGACGACTGCATCAACAACCGCCAAGCCCGAAATGGGCCGCTGCTCCCTCGGGATGCCGCCTCGCGCTCTCGGGTGGGGATCGCTCGACGCTGATGAGCTGTACCTGCTACAGTTCGTCATATTGCCTTGCCCTCCGCTGTGACTATCGGGCCGGGCGAAAGGGGGGGATAGCAAAGGGGGGGTTTGAGAATCAGCTCACGTAGCTGATTTTCCCAGCGCCTCCCGGCGCCGGAGGCGGCCATGTATCGAGGAATGGGCCCCTCGGTGAAGCCGAAACCAGGTGCATGCAGTAAATTTCGTAACCCCCCCTTTCCCAATCCCCCCCTTTCGTCCGGCCCGATCCACTGTGACTAGTGCCACTGCCCGTTTATGTTTGAGCTGCGGCCCATTGCCAGGCAAGCGCTGGTCTCCGGCAGCCCCACACTGACGCAGGCGAAGCCGCACTCAGCAACACTTCTTCGACCACCTCCTCCCTGAAGATGGGTTTAGGCACGCGTCGGTCGGAAGAAGTAGGCAAATACATGATGTAGGAAGGCGGATAACATAGAATGGAGTCAGGCCCTCCCAGAGAAGAAGCTAACACAGCAAAAGCATATCGGTTCTTGAAACAGGAAGGCGCTTGAAGTAGGTTGGGACATGGACATTCAATACTACATTATTGTTCCACGACGGGCGTGTACCGTTTTGCAGCTCATAGCGATCTGAATAATCCTCCTCTTCTCCCCCGCTGACGGCGCCTCCAGCGCCGCCCCGTGGCGCGCTTCGCACGCCAGGGAATGGGGTTGGGCGTGCAGTGCCGACCCAAGAATTGCGCGCGGACGTTCGAAGTGAATGCTTAAGAATGCTACCCGTTGGTCGGAAGAAGCAGGAAGACCAATGAGGTAGGATGGCGGATGAAGCGGACTGGGCTCAGGCCCTCCCAGGGAGGAACAACGCAAAGCGAAGCAGATCGGCTCTTGAAGCAGGAAGGCGCTCGCAGCAGATGGGGATCCGGGAATCCAGGAACGCCTACTTCCAACGACGGGCATGCACCCTTTCCGCCAATCATGAGTCTGGCAATCCCCCCCCCTTCCTCTCGGGTCGGGCGAAAGGGGGGGATAGCAAAGGGGGGGGGGTGAGAATCAGCTCACGTAGCTGATTTGCCCAGCGCCTCCCGGCGCCGGAGGCGGCCATGTATCGAGGAATGGGCCCCTCGGCGAGGCCGAAACCAGCTGCATGCAGCAGATTTCGTACCCCCCCCCTTTCCCAATCCCCCCTTTCGTCCGGCCCGATCCTCCCGGCGTCAGCAAGGCGCCCCGTGAGTCTGGCAATCCTCGCCCCCCCCTCCGCCAACCGTGAGTCTGGCAATCCTCCCCCCCCCTCCTCCCGGCGTCAGCAAGGCGCCCCCTGACCTCTCCCGAGGGGCCCGCTCCGCCCAGGACCTCTCGCGGCGGGCCCGTGGCGGCCGGGAGCTCTCCGAGGCCCGGCACCGCGGGGAGCACGCGGGGGAGCAGCGCCGGCTCCCCGGAGGAGCCGTGCGCCAACTGCTGGCCATAACGCCCCTGACTCGCCCCGCCCCGCCCCCCCCCTCCTCCCTGCCCCCCTCCCCCCCTCCCCCTCCCTCCTCCCCTCCTCCTCCCTCCACCCCTCCTCCTCCCTCCCCCTCCTCCCCCCCCCTCCACCCCTCCCTCCGCCCCGCCCCCCCCTTCCTGCCCCCTCCCCCCCTCACGACTCGCGCAGGCGCCGCCCGGGAACCAACTCCCCGGAGGAGCCCAGGTGGCCCAGAACGGATTCCAGCTGAAAGGGGGTGGTGCCATAGTTTTGGGACAGTTGTATTGCAGATTATTGCGCCAGAGAGTTGTAATGCATTGTCTCGCAAATAGTAAAATCCAGCAGTGCATTTGCGCCCCGGAATGTATTGCACGCCCCAGATGTATTGCAACCCCAGAAATCGATTACACCAAATATATTGCACCACCCCCTTTTGGGTCAACCCGAAGAACGCCCGTGACCCGCCCCGCCCCCCGCCCTCCCTCCCTCCCCCCCTGGCCGCATCAGGACTCGCGCCAGCGCCGTCTGGGAACTAGCCAATCCTCACCATTCCCAGACGGCGCCGGCGCGAATCGCGACATGACTGGCTCCCGAACCCCCCCGAGATCACGCCAGTTCTCGCCAGAGGATAGAGAAACACTCTCGAGCACGATCCTCGCCAAGGGCTCGCTCTGGCCAGAAGCTCGATGTAGGTGGGCCTGGCAGTGGCGACGAGCAGCCGCCCAGGGGCCCAGAAAGAGCGAACAAACGTGGGAAACAACAAGACGCAAACCTCTTCGGGGATCTACTTGCCCAGGTCAATCCAGACCCGGGCCAGTCAGGCTTTGCAGGAGGATCCTGCAAGATCCTTGCACCCAAACCCGGGTCAGTCCACCCCTGGCTCTGCAGGATCCTGCAAGATCCGGCGCTCTGACTGACCCCCGTTTGCATTGACCCCCGTCCCAAGGCTCCCGACCTCTGAACTCGACCCTCCCTCCGGCTCCTCGCCCCTCCAACGAGTCACACACTGGGCATGGCGGGAGGGGGGTGCGCTGGGCAGGGCGCCGCGGCCTGGCTGTCGCCAGCAGGGCTCGTGGAGCACCCGCCCGGCCTCGCCCAGGCCGCGTAGCCGCGCCTGCGCGGGGGTGGCCGCCGGGAGGGGGAGGCGACGAGCCCAAACCTCCAACGATCTGAGTGGCGCAAAGGAAGTAGAGGTCAACAAATCCCCCCCCCATCGTAACCACCCCGACACGCGAAGTCGTTTAGTGAACGCGCCCCAAATCGGGGATCTTCTGACCCGGGTCAGGAGGAAACCAAAAAACTGCAATGCAGGAAAGAAGGAACGAAAAACTGCAACGCAGGTCTTCGCAAACCCGGATCAGCCAACATGCGCGGCCGCCTCGCGGCCACGAGCGGCTCGCTAACCCGGGTCAGCCAGAGGGGGTCTTCGCAGGATCCTGCAGGATCCGGTGCCCTGGCTGACACCCGTTTGCACTGACCCCCGTCTCTTAGGCCCCGGCAAAGAAGGAATCGAACAGAGCCGGGCTGTTTAGTAAACCCCCAAGGCCGTGTAGTAAACGCCAATTTTTCGGTCTAGGTGTTTTCTTCACCGTTGATGAAAGGGGGACTTACGCGAGATGGCATAACGACCTTACGCGGTGGCTTGCGCGGGCCGCCAGCGCGGCCCGCTTGATTGGAAGCGAGGGCGCCCAGGCGCGACCTTCCGCGGGCAGCTTGCGCGCGACTGTCGGAACAGTTGGGCCCGTTTCTCGACGTTGTTCTTCCATGTCGACTTCCGGGGGCCGCTTTCGGAACCCAGGACCATCAGACATGAACCCGGCGGCTAAACTATCTCCAGGAAAGGAGTTGGGGAGCTCTGGGGCCGCGGAAACAATCATCCCTCCTCGCCACTCCGCCTTCCGTATCTCGCGGCTCCCGCCTTCCACGCACTGGTAATCGTTGCCGCAGCACCCGTTTGCGCGCCTGCTTTCTCAGCTGGGCTCCCCAGGGTATGCCCCAGGTCGTCTCAGCCTTCGGTCATGCCATACTCCCATCCGTACAGCTTGACAGCGCTGGTGCGCTCCGTGGGGCCCTGGCAAGGACAATGAAGCAGGTGTCCGAAGCGCCCGCCACCTCCGTCTGCAGCCAGGCCGCATCCATCCGCAATGCGAAGGTCCGCAGAATCATCTGCCCTGAGCCCAGTCGGCTTGCTGTCGCTGGACCGTCTGGTCGTGCGCGCTGTGTCATCCCGCGCCCATTCGCCTCTTCGGATCGCGAGTGCGGGGCCTCGGGAAAGATTTGAGAAATAATGACCGCTCGCGCTCCACCGCCTCGCCATCCCTTCTGATCTCTCCTCTTCCTCACCACTACCATCCTCATCCTCATCGCGATACTCCTCATCACTACCCTCATGGTGCCCATCCGCATCGCCAACATCCTCATAGCCACCGTCAGTCTCGTTATCACCACCATCATCACCGTCATTGCCACCATCCTTCACCATGAAAACGAGCGTCCCCCGCTCCACACTTCACACCTCTTCCTCATCATCCCCCCTGCCCCTCTCCTGCTCCCCCCCCCCCTTCACTCCCCTCCCCCCTCCCAGCCCTCCCATCCCTCCCCTCCTGCACCTCATCCCGACGCGCCCATCTGGCCGCCACCATGGCGCCGCGCCTGTAACGGACGAAGCCCGCTCCAACTCCGGCCACAGCCCCTCCTTCCCGGGATGGCTTGGGACGGCCCGTCGGGGCCCGCAGCGGGCCTCTCTGGGGGCGAAGAGATGGCGAAAGACCTGTTAGAGCCTCGAGCCTCGATCAATCGACGACGACGACCACCACGACGACGACCACGACGATGACGACCACGACGACGACGACGACGACGACGACGACGACGAGGACGACGACGAGGACGACGAGGACGACGAGGACGACGACGACGGCGGCGACGGCGGCGACGACGACGACGACGACGACGACGACGACGACGACGATGACTGGTCCCCGAGCCGCCCGCCGAGCCGCCCCGGCAGCCTGAAGGCCGCAGCGGGCGCGGCGCCCGCGGCCTCCTCCACGGCTCCTGGGGGCAGAGCGGTGCCCGCGCGGGCGCGGACGTGCCAGGGCACGGGCAGCGCAAGGGGGCGTCGAGCCGAAGCTCGCCGAAGACCAGGGAGCGGGGACCTGGTGACCCGGGTCAGTCCAGACCCGGGTCAGTGCAGCTTTGCAGGATCCCGCAGGATCCTGGATCCTGCACCCAAGCCCGGGTCAGTGCGGCCCTGGCTCTGCAGAACCCTGCAAGCTCCAGCGCTCTGGCCGACCCCCGCTCGCATGGACCCCCGTCTCTTGAGCCCCGAGAGGGTGCATGACACACGTGCCCTTCCCCGCCGCACGCCAGATGGATACTTTGCCTGGCCGCTCCGACGGTGTGTGGCCAGGCAAACGCTCAGACCGCCGGGTAGATCTGAATGGTCCAGCTCGTCACCATCAGATAAGCGATAAGCTTCCTCCACATATCTAGACACAGCCCTCCCCATTGCAGCACATAGCTCCTGAGGGTACCTTTTTTGGGGAGCCGTCCTCCGTTTTCCTGTGGCTGGGTCAGTACCGAGCAATGTGGTGTGGGTCTTCTTTGGGTGATCACATCTGCCCCCTCTGCCCAGTCCCTGGATTCCATCCACGATGGAGTCTAGACGGATGCACAAGAACGTCGTCGGAGCTTCACTGACCTGTCCAAACACACCCACACTGATCAAACGACACAGTTCTGGAGGGTGGGGCAGCACTCAGGGCGCACGACGTGGCAGACTGCCACGAACTGGGGAATATTTCCTCCCAGTGTGCCGTCTCCGGGCGTTCCTTTAAAGCACTCGCACCCACCTCGAGGCAGGTCAGCATCAGCAAGTGCTGCCTCAACAGGAGCAGGGTGCCGATAGAGAGCTGCAAATGCTGACGACTTGTAACATCAGGGGGACCCCACCGATGCTTGAGTGTACGGGGCGGAGCGGAGGGGACGATAACGATCGGCAGCTCGGAGCTCCTGCCAGCGAGCAGCAGGCCAGGTTTCGCATGGAGGGCCTCCTATGAGGCCGATACCACGTCCTGATCTCAGGAGCGAGTCCCACTTCTGAACAAGATCTGCCCGGATGAGATCTCCAGTCACGGCGTCACAGGCCACATCACAAGAGGTAAGAATAATCGCCGCAGGCCCATGTACCAGCACACGTTCTAAGTCATCCTGCACATCACCAACGCGCCTCGCTCTTGAAAACAAATGAAACAAAACAAGCGCAGCATACTGCAGTGGCCGAGGACATCGCTCGGCAGTGGGACCATCATCGGCCACAGGCTCAAACATATGTTCATCTGCCAGCGGGGGTTCGTATTGAACCAGGAGTGCTTGGGCTCCGCTGTGGCCCTGGTAAATCCAAAGAGAGCCCCAGGAGCATGCCGATACAGACGACTGAGATAACAAAGGGTACCAACGCAGCATGATATCCACATCACACTTGCACGCAGCCGACAGGATGGCGGAATCGGGCTCGGAACTATCATCACCGGCAGGTTGTCCCAAGGCAGAGCTATAAATCCTGATGATGCCAGCGCGATAGCGATTGAACTGCGCCAAAGTCGGTTGCGTCCACGCCGCCGCATTGTATAGCCTGCCGGACATGACCATCACACCAGCGAGCTGCAGCTTGTGCTGCACACAGAGCTGAGGATTCGGGAAGACCACCTGCCGAAGAGCCTGCAACGACGACGATGTTGACGAAACACGGTAGGCTAGCTCAGGGGCCATGTCCTGCTTTTCCGAAACCATCCTACCTAAATGCTTATGCGACTGCACAGCCTCCAAAGACAAATCCTCGGGAAACGTGTAGGTGGGCGGAATCGACACCTTCCCCCCCTCCTCGATCCAGATCTGCTAACGTGCCACCACAGACCCAGGGCCTCTGAAGGTAACCAACAAGGCGGTCTTGGAGGGGCCCACATTGATCTTGAGGCTCACGGGGGCGAAGGAGCCAGCCACAATAGCCACCAAGACGCGCGTGCGTTGAATAATGGATCCGGCGGGGCCCCAAGTCTTGAACAGGCTGTCGTCGCTATACTCGACGTCGTTGACAGAGACTTTAATATCGCACTGTGCCAGGGGATCGAGGGTCCTGACCGACGGGACCTCGAGCTCCTGATGAAGCCCAGCCGCAAACAGGAGGTCCCACGTCTTACGAACGCACCTTGAAACGATGAGCAGGAAAAACTGAGCAGCCAAAGTATTGCCAGGCCTGGCCCCGGTAGTCATGAGGGCAACGCGCCCCGAGCCTTGCGTGGTGGTCCATGTCCCCGTCAAGGTCTCTGCCAGGACACGTCCAAGGTGCGCAGGAACCTCCAGTTCCTTCAGCAGCGGCCGCTTGGCCAGCTCAGCAGCGAGCAAGTCCATACAAGAGGGCGGTGGGCCTGACGCATCTAGAAGCTGGGCAATGCGCCTATCCGATATTTCCTCCTCTCCCTCGAAGAGAATGAGAATCCCTCCAACAGCATGATGAAACGCAGCTTCCAAGTCCACGCAGAGGGCCGACATGGATTCGGAACGAATGCGAGAATGCTCCTGCATAAGTCGAACCATATGAACAGCAAAATCCGTCCCTCGACCCCTGATACATCCACACTGCGACTCTGGTGCCAACGCGTCGAGAAAGGGCTGGAGACGGCCAGCCACGAGAGCATGTGCGCGTTTGCCCACCTGGGGCCCTATGTCCACTGAACGGCTGGATACACACTGATTGGTCTTGCCACGGCCCTTGTACAAATCAGCCAAGCGTGAACTTTTCCACTGTGGAGGTTCATGTATACACAACAGAACTTTTAATTACCGATGGGAAGTATATCCGAGCACATTGGGTAGAGCACAACTTCAAGAGAGCACCTGGGACAAAGTCCAAGCCATTCGCACAGGAACTCGAGGCCTTCAGTAGATGTTGCTCAAACATAGCAAGCGTCGGCAAACACTTCGCCGCTGAGGCGTCGATCTCTGCTAGCGGATAGCACGATTCACCTACAAACTGCAGTCAGCTATTAACAGGCACGCAAAAGCCAAGCTCCTGTTCGGCAAAGTGCTCCAGCCACCTGTCACGACCAGCCGACGGCGTCAGAGAAGGCGTGCCATCTTTCAAGGGAATATGAGCGGACTGGCTGGCAGGACGTTTCTTTGAGGATCCGAGACCCAGCGCGCGGAGCTGGCTGAAGGCTTGCCGCAACTCTGTCAACAGAAAAGAATTCGCAACTGCATTAGAGATCTGCCCCGTCTTGGTAGCCTTATCCAACTCAGACGACCAGCCGATCAAGCGTGAGGTGAGAAACGTCATGTTACTCCGAATGGCCTTCATAAGACCATGCCAGCGCCGAAGAAGATCTAAGCATTGAGAGGCACGTGGAAGACGGAAGGCAGGGTTGGCAGGCACGCGAGCAAGCTCCTGACAATATTGCTAGAATATTATCCCAGTCAGCAAACCGAGCTGGTATATAGCGTCGGGCCGTCACCTGAAGGACATCTAACCTGGGACCGAAACTCTTCGACGAGCCTCCAAAGCTGTTGCCGATATCGTATCCCATTCAGGCCATTGGACCCAGATCGGATCCGGAGCCTGCCCCAGACACCCTCGTGCTCCTGGTGGCCAGTAGAAGCCCAAGATTGGGACACCAGCTGAATGAGAGCTCTGGGTGCCTTCTGGGTCCAGCTGCGATACATGGCCTTAGGTGTTTCCGAAGTTCCAAGAGCTCCAGAGTCCTTTCACCTTCCCAATCCTGCCGACGGGGATCTTCAGGCACCAGATGCTCACGAGCATAGGCAGAAAGATGCGCATGCACTCGAGCACAGTGCGCCGTGGCCGACTCGGACCAGTCAGGCTCCTGAAAAGCGGCACCATGCTGATCAAATGCCGCTGCAGCAACTTCCTAGCCGCCGCAAGGCGGAGTAGCACACGGGCGTGAGCACGACTCGCACTGGCCCTCCGGTGCCACGCGGGCTCCCCAGCCCTCTCCGCGTGGCGATGGGGGTCAGCACGGCCGCGAGGCAGCGCTTTGGCGGGCTGCGGTCAGACGGCGCGTCTAGCAGCTGTCCCGAAGGTGAGGGGCCGCTACCTGGTAGCACCCAGGCCCCTCGAGCCGGGACGGCGGCTGGAGGAGGGAGAGGAGGAGGGGGAGGAGGAGGAGGAGGAGGAGGAGGAGGAGGAGGAGGAGGAGGAGGGAGGAGGAGGAGGAGGAGGAGGAGGGGGGAGGAGGAGGGAGGAGGAGGGGGAGGAGAGGAGGACGAGGAGGAGGAGGACGAGGAGGAGGAGGAGGACGAGGGAGGAGGAGGAGGAGGAGGAGGAGGGGCAGGAGGAGGAGGAGGAGGAGGAGGAGGAGGAGGAGGAGGAGAGGAGGAGGAGGAGGAGGAGGAGGAGGAGGAGGGAGGAGGAGGAGGAGGAGGGGGGGGGGGGGAGGCGAGAAGTCCCCCATGGCGAATCCTCACGTCCCTGGGCGGGGGAGGGCCTTCGGGTCCGCATCGGCGAACAGGGGGCGCCTCGGGGTCGACGCATCCCCCCTGAGCCTACATCCCCCTGGCGTTCCCCCTGGCTGTCGGGCCATACCTCGGCTCTCCGGCGGCCGTTCGGGACGACCGGGGGCTCCTCGGAGCGCCCTCGGCGAGGCGCAACTGCTGGCGTGCACCCCAAGGCCAGAGAACCGGCAATCACCGATGAGCACGCCCCGAAACCTCGAACCTCGACTCGCACCTCTGATGTTGCTCTCCCAATGGATTCTCAATCTTGTTGAGACTCTGGGGGGCGAATTCGGCACGCGTGCGTAAGACCAGCGTGTGGTTCCGCTGGGCGTGCGTGAGAAGTGCATGTTGGAATGCTTCTGAACATGCCTACACGAGTTTAGAGTGGTCGTCTTGGGTATGGTCGTTTTGGGTAATTCTGCCAGAATGAGTTTAGAGCGTTGGTGGCTTCAAAAAAATCTAAGGGAGCCCAACTCGAACGTTGCACCTGAGACGGGAAGGAGGTAGATGCTCATTCTTGGTACCTTCCTGGAGCCACTCGCTCCAATCGTGCGTCGAGGCTACGTCGAACCTCCGTCGACTCGGGTCGAACTCGAGTCGAATCGACGTCGAACCTGGGTCGAACCCGAGTCGACCTCTGAGTCGACCTCTGAGTCGACACGGTGTCGATCAAGGGCCAAGCTAGACTCGAACAGATCCGTTTGGTCGGCCCCAGGAAGGCCCCCCCAAAACGAGCCTCTCAGGGGGGCGGAGCGCTCCCGCGAAGGAGCCCACGTCGTCCAGGAGGTCGCCCTGGCGCCCGAGGCGGTGCAGGCCGACGAGCCCCAGGGAGCCCGAGGCCTCGCGCTCTCTCGGGCTGCCCGGGATCGCACGCCGCGCGGGGAGGGCGGCTGGGCTTCGGTCGGGCGTGTCCCCCTACAGGCCGATTTTGGACGAGCAAGAAACAATAATCAGCAAATGCGCAAAACAAAAAACAGAAGTAGTCAAAACATCGTCCCCAGCCTATTTTTTGCACCATTTCTGAATGCTCCTCCTGTATCGGGGAGACGTAAGACCCGGTTACGGGGGACTCGGAAATCCCCGACGAGGTCGTCAAAAAAATGACGAGGCCGAGCCTGCATTTTGACGAGGCCTCCCGCTGCAGACATCCCACGAAACTCCTCCTCGTCAAAATCCGAAGCGCGGTCGTCAAAAAACGATGGCGAACCCGAGTCCTGGCAAACCCGGGTCTTAGGCTCCCCCGAGTGGATACGGCAGGTTCGCGTCGTGTCGACCCCGGCGTTGGTTTCCGACACCGCGGGGATCGTTCAGCCTTGGACGATCGGCCGTTTCCGCAACGCCCAAATCGTTCCACACCGAACGATTCTGGGTCGCCCGCGGCGTTCAAGGTTGAACGCCGCTGGCAGCGTCGCCGCCGGTCGACACGACACTAACCTACCGTATACATTTTACCCGCACCTCGCGCCCAGGGCCATCGGACGATCTGCCACCGAGCAACGGCAGCAGCTCCTTCAGGTAATCTCGGGCTGAGCGTTCTGGCACGCGTATTGTCTGTTTCGCGTCGGATCGCATCATCTAGAAAGCAAGCGTGAACTGAGAAGTACAAAGGATCGTGGCTCAGATCGAGGAGACCAAGGCTGGGCTGCCGCTGCTCCTCCTCCTCCGCCTCTTCCGTTGGACGCCGCCGCCGCTCCTGCAGACCCCACCGGGTCGTGGAACAAAAATCACGGCGGGGCGGTTCTGGGCTACATATGTTCGGCTCGGCCTCCGGCGGCCCTCGCCGGGCCCTGGACCATGAAAGGAAGCCTAGGGTTAGGTCGGGCCTGTCCCCTACAGGGAGATTTCTGGCAAAAAATACAAAATACCCCAAAAATACCCCAAGAAGGTCAAAAAATACTCAAAAGATAGTCCCCGGACTACCTTTCGACTATTTTTTGATTATGTTTGTGGTATTTTTCATCTTTCGTGGAAAATCCCCCTGTAGGGGGACAGGCCCGAATTAAGCCTAGGGATGGAAGGCCGGTCCAGGGGAACGGGTCGAGACCGCCTGCAGGGGTCAAGGCTGTGACAAATCGTGAGGTCGGGAGCCTGGGACCGCCGTGGCCGCCACGGTCGCCGCCGTCGGCATGATGGTGGTGGTGGACAACCGGCCCATCATGGCATGAACACGGGTTCTTGGAGGTCCGCGCTGATCTCTTGGACCTGCACTGGAAACCCCGCGGAGCGCGCCAGGGGCGGCGCGAGAGGCGCCGCCGAGGGGGCCCGGCGCCGATCCGAGAGATCCGCGCGGACCTCCAGGAGATCGTGTTCGGCGTGTCGTCCGCCTCCACTGCTGGGGCGCGTGCGGCCTCCGCGCGCGATCGGGCCCTGCCGTGCCTTGCCTTCTCTCCGCCGCCCGTCCCTCGCCATCGCTCGGACGTCCATTTCCCGTGCACGTTTCGGCTTCGTGCGTGTGTGTGTTTTTTGGCTCGATGGTCCAGGATCGTCCTCAATGGCTCTCGCCGAGGAAAAAATGCACACGTCCGAGCGATGCCAGGCGTCCCTTCGGTTTCGTGCGTGTGTTTTTTCGGCTCGATGGTCCAGGATCGTCCTCAATGGCTCTCGCAGAGAAAAAAATTCACACGTTCGAGCGATGCCAGGCGTCCCCCGTCGTCCCTCGGGGGGCCGCGCCCCAGGAGGCGGCCGCGCGCCGGCGGCGGCGGCGGCGAGGCGGCGGAGAGCGGACGCCGGCGGGGCGCCCCGCGAGCAGGCCGGCGGGGGGCGCGGCGCTGCAGCCGCCGGCGAGGGGGGCGGGCGCTCCGTCTCCGACTGACTACCTACCAGACCACCCCAACCCAACCCGAAGACCCGAATTTCGGGTTGGGGGGGGTAAGGGTTTCATATGTGTTTTCTCAACACTCCCCGACCCCCCCCCACTGGAAATCGAGGGCAATTTGGAGCCTTCGGGTTGGGTTGGGGTGGTTTGGTGGGTGGTGACCGACGGCTCTTGCTGCCATCTTGCACCCTCGGGGGGGCCTTCTCTGTCCCGTCGCGGCCCGCTCCGCAGCGAATCCGCTCTCGGACTCCTCTTGCCAAGTGCACCCTCGGGGCACCTGATCTGTCCCGTCGCGGCCCGGTCCACAGAGACTCCGCTTTCGGACGGGGCGGATCCGTGTCGAATCCGCGTCGGATCAGCGTCGGCTCCACGCCGAATTCGCGTCGGGTCCACATCGAGCTCGCGACGGGCGCAAGAGACACCAGACCTGGGGGGCAGGCGAGGCCACCCGAAGATGCAGCGGCAGCGCAACCTTGCCGGCGCCGCAGGTGGCATGAAGGAGGCGGGTCCTGGGCGGCACGGATTGCCGAAGCCTTCCGCCGCGTTGCAGGCCCCCTCGGGGCCCTCCACGGACCCAGAGGCCGCCCACACAAGAAGCCTTGTGACGGCAGGCTGGTCGTGAGAAGGGGGAGGATGAGGAGAAGGAGGAGGACGGGGGGGCGGAGGAGGAGGAGGAAGTGAGAAGGGAGGAGTGAGGAGGATGAGGAAGTGAGGAGGAGGAGGAGGGAGGAGGAGGAGGGAGGAGGGAGGAGGAGGAGGAGGAGGGAGGAGGAGGAGGAGCAGGAGGAGGAGGAGGAGGAGGAGGAGGAGGAGGAAGTGAGGAGGAGGAGGAGGAGGAGGAGGAAGTGAGGAGAAGGAGGAGGAAGTGAGGAGGAGGAGGAGGAGGAGGAGGAAGTGAGGAGCCGCGGGTGCGTGGCCCGTGTCGCTCAGAACCTCTGCGCCTCGTGGCGACGCATGATTCTGTCAGCGGGTGCCTACTGCAAGGTCGGGCCTGTGCCCCTACAGGGGGATTTTGGACGAAAAATTAAACATACACAAAACATGCATCAAAAGTGTTCAAACATGGTCCAAACATCGTCTCCTGACTAAGTTTGACTATCTTTGCATACTCCTCCTATAGAGGGACAGGCCCGACTTAAAGCCTGCCGGCCAGATAAAGAAGGAGGAGGGAGGGAGAGGCAAGCAGACAACGACGAGCACGCAGGCGAGGGGCCAGGACCGTCGGCTCCGATCTGTGACACTGGGCGGCTCGTCCTGTCTCGAACGATCGCGGCTTCGCGATTGCAGGGATCGTTCGAACCTGGATGCCTCAAAGCCAGCGGCGGCGTTCAACCTTGAATGCCCGCGCTGGGGATCGCCGCCGCGTCAGCGCGTTGCGGAGCTTCCGCTCTATCACTATCACAACGGACTTCATCGCGCCCCCGCCTGGAGCAGCATGCACGCGCATCGTCAGGCCAATCGTATGGTGGGGACCTTGGATCGTGAGGTGCAGCGTCAGGGCGACACTCCATGCCCCAACGAGATGAGATATGCGTCAACAGTATCCCTTCTTGGTGACGTCGCTAGGCCTCACGTTTTACACCCAAGTTGCATGAATGCAGTTTTTACACATTCGGGTGATAGAGACGATTGCACTGTGAGGAAGAAGCCAAGTAACAGTATGACAGTGACAACACACAACGTTTGATCTAATACCTGATTGCTGTTATCATCGCTGTATCAACGATAGCATCAGCAAGTCGCAGCAGCAGTGGCTTCGGCAATGGTAGGGGCATTGCAGCTGTAGTCGTTAGTGCAAGTCCCAGCGCCAGTTCCAGCGGATGCGCAGTTGGGCGTTCCTCCACACAACAAATCCGCTTTCAACCAGAGATGCCAAGTCCGGACTGCCAGTAGCCTTCTGGACACATCGCCACTACCTCCACCCCAACCTGCCCTTTATCACGATCCCCACTCCTATTGAGGCTGCAGCTTCAGCGTTGACTGGTTAGCATACTCCTGTTGCTAATGCTTTTAGAGTCGCTGCTGCTACGACTGCTGTTGGCACGGCTGTTTCCTAGGGTTGCGCCTGGCACTCCGATGGGTACAGATCTGCTTGTTCAACGGCTGGTGCATACTCCTGATGCTGACTGTACCTCACACTGTTTCAAAGCTGGCTCCCACTGATGCTGCGACTGCTGTTTCTATTGCGCTGCAACCGCTGCCAATTTGACGCTGCTGTTGTGGTTGCTGCTTCTACTACTGCTCAGACTACTGATACCGTTACTGCTACGATTCTTGGGGTAATACCGTTGCACGCTCTGGTACTGCTGATTGCGACGCCGTTGTGCCACCGTTGTAGCTGGCCTGGCTACAGCTGATGCAGCAGCTGTCATTGTTGCAGATGCTACTCCTGCTGCAACGGCTGCTGCTAATTCGGGAGCACAGGCGCTGCCGCCAATACAGTGGCAACGATAATGACCCTGCAAGTAGGCGTGCCTGCTCAGACCTGCTGCTGTTCAGGCTGTGGAGACCTTTCCTCCTCCGCCATCCTCCTTCTCCTCCGCCCTCCTCCTCCTCCTCCTTCTGCTCCTCCTTCTTCTCTTCCCGTCCTCCACCTCGTCCTTCTCGTTCCTCTCCTCGACCAACACGCCCTCCACCACCCCCTCGAGGACACGAGCGCGCGCCTCGTCGTAGAGCACGTGGCGGGGGTGGAAGCCGTCGAAGCGCACCGCCTGCCGCCGCGCGTCGCCCGCCCAACGCGCCGAAGGGGCGGGCCTCGGACCGACGGGGCGGGTCTCTCCGTTCGGCCGACACGTCGTGGCACCATCGGGGGGGACGTCAATAGGGGAACAAAAAGTGACATAAACATATAAACTCGGAGGTCCGCACGGATTTCTCGGATCGGCGCTGGACCCCCCTCCCTGGCGCGCGGAGCGCGCCAGGGGCGGCGCCGGAGGCGCCGCCGGGGGGCCCCAGCGTGGATCCGAGAAATCCGCCGCGCGGACCTCCGAGTTTTTCTGTTTATGCCACTCGTTCACGAAGCCCCGACACAGTCACGAAGCCCCGACACAGTGTGGGGTGACGATTGGGGGGATAACACTGGGAAACTTGTATCCGCCGCCTTGCCTGCACGATGTGGGTGTGTTCGAGCGCCAGGTACCGCTCCGTATACGGTTTCCGATCATTTCTGATAAGGGACCCCTCCCCACCTATTCACAGAGTGGTGCATGCATATCCCCCCCCCGAGGCCACGAGCGCCTAGTCCCAAACAACGGATTCACGCTGCCAAGGCCACGATCCCTGGTTAAAAACACTGGATCCGCGTCCCGAACTTCCAAGTCGGCCCATGCAGGCAAGAAAGGACTCTAGGACGGCCCAAGATGCCTCGAAGACGCGAAGCTTCTATCAAACAGACATGCCCTGCCACAGGAGAAGCTTGAAGAGAGGACCACTGCAGACCATTAGCGACGACGCCTGCGAACAGGTCTGCAACCCAAGGTACCAATCACCATCCGAGGCGCTGCAGCGTGACGACCCCCCCGGTTCATTTCTTAAGCCGCAACCCTACATTCCTCAGAGAGAATGCCTTTCCAAGAACCAACAATCCTTCCAAATTCGTTATGTTGACGTTCCTGGGGCCCTCAGAGAGGGAAACCAGTGGGGGCCCAAACGCAGCGGCAAAACAACTCAGGTGCCACGTTCCTTCAGGAACCCCTTGCCCTGATGGGAAACGCACAACTGTACACCAAGGTATGCGAGCCTTCGCCCGAAGAGGAACGAACATATCATGTCGGACGTCTCACACTCGCAAGCCGACCCCGAAGAATGTCTACGATACTGTCTGCGACGGCGGCTGCAAACATAGCTTCATGGTCATGCCCCTGCCCCGACTCCAATGGCGAATCTTCTCTGTTCTGTCTGTGCTTTGTGGACCGGACGTCGTGGCCACGCGCCCCGCATCGCGGCGGCCGCACCTTGACCGACCACAGCGTCCTTCTCCTCATCCCCTCCTCCTCCTCCACCTCCTCCTCATCCTTCTCCTCCTCCTCCTCCTCCTCCTCCTCCTCCTCCCTCCTCCTCCTCCTCCTCCTCCTCCTCCTCCTCTCTGCCTCCTCCTCCTCCTCCTCCTCCTTTACCTCCTCCTCCTCCTCACCCTCCTTTACCTCTTCCTCCCCCTCCTCCTCAGGTCCTCCTCCTCCTCCTTAATGTCCTCGCGCCCTGACAAAAAACTGAAATATATGTTTTAGAACCAATCTTCCGTTATTCGCGGCAACGCCTGTGACCAGGCCCGCCCCACATCCTCTCCTCGCCCCACCCCCCCTGGTCAAGTCACGATTCGCGCCAGCGCCGTCTGGGAATAAGCCACTCTTTGGGCACTTCTAAAAAGGCAGGGGGCGGCGGTGATTCGCCGTAGCCATCTCTGATATGTTGTCATGACCCGATGGGGTCTGGGCTAACGCCCCCCAAATCCTCAACGCCCGAAGGAAGACGACCGAGGGGCCCTTTGTGGGCCACAGACGGCCCCTGTAGGGCCCCTAAGGTGCACGAAAAATACACCTTCTTCATCCTCGTACGTCGGGTCCCAGAGAGCCTGTATGGGCCCCTAAGTTGCGCGAAAAATACACCTTCTTCATCCTTGTTTGTCGGGTCCCAGAGAACCTGAACCAAACATCATTGCCAAATCTTGGGGGGCAAATGTTTGCTTCCGTCGCGCCCTCTCGCCCGGAAAAAATGCTAACTCCCCAGAGATACGGTGTCGTGAGTTTTCCCATCATGCTCGGTCCCCGGAAGTCTCGACCCATTCCCCAAGACCGGTTGTTCATCCTGAGTCGTTTTTTAACAGTCCCGCTAAGGGCCAAAAACTTAGAAAAAACTCCGTCTTGATTTTTTCAATGCGTTGGACCTCTGGGTCCTTCCACTCTCGAAGGCCAGGCCCTCTCTCGAATGTCTCGTGCCTCGCCCCCGAACCCCTCGACGACCGAAGGCGGAAGGGCCAAGAGGCCACCCCCCCGGGGGCACGGCCCACGCCGTCGCCAGCGCCTCCGGGCCAGCGAGCGCGGCGTGCAGCTCGGCCAGCAGCTCGCCGGTGCGGGCGCAGAGCTCCTCCGCGTCGGCCGGGTGCCCCCGAACCGAAGCAGGGGGGGGACAATTCTGAGTATCGTTTAACCGATCCCCATCCCCGCCAGCGTGGGCTGGGCCTCACTGGCCGATGTGTCCCCCTAGATGGGGATATAATTAGGCCGTTCCTTTCGGGCTTCGAGGGGTGTATCCCCAACTGGGGTGGTAATTTGGTGGGGGTCTCGAAGGACATGGGGATGGGGATGGGGATCGGTTAAACGATACCGAACAATTCTGCGGGAGTTCTGGGGCACTCCTCGATGCTCGTTCTGGGGGCCTTCCTGGAGCCGATGGCTCCACCGGTGCGTCGGTGCTGCGGCGCACGTCCGTCGACTCGAGTCGAACTTGCGTCGATCCTGAGTCGAGCCGAACCTGAGGCGAACTTGAGTCGAGCTGGCGTCGAGCTGGATTCGAACTAGAGGCGAACAGATCCGTTGGGTGGGCCCCAGGGAGGTTCCCCAAGCGAGCATCTAGGGCACGATCGGAGGTTCGAAGGTTAAAACTTGCGGACGCTGGAAGGAAACGGGTCCAGAGGGCAACGGGTCCAGAGTTGTCTTGCCTTTTCTTTCGCTCCCCGTGGCCATCGATGGGCCGTGGGATTGAAAGGAAGGGGCTCAGGATGCAGAACTGACCTGAGGGAACGCCCAGGGTCCAGGACCGTTCCCCTCAGGACCCGTCTCTCCCCTGCTAAAAAAACACTGCACGTCCCGCTGGGGATCAGGGGCTGCGCTTACGGGAGGTACGCTCGAGGGGCAACGTTGGCTTCGAAATTCGAGGTCTCCACACGTTTCCGGCGATTCTCGGCGGTTTTTTCCAGCCTCGGGGCGCCTCCAAGCGGCTGCGCCTCGCCTGGGGCGTTCCGCGGATGCCTGGACCGTCCCGAACGGGCCGCCGCAGGGCCGGGCTGTGACCCGAAAGCCGCGCGAGGTACCTGGGCCACCAGGGGCCTTCCGGGGCGGACACTCGCCGGGCCCCGGGGCCGTCGAATAGGCGGGCCGGGACAATTCACTAATCGACGTGTCACTGTTGGGGGTTCTGTCCACTCCCGATAGGACCCCCTCAGGAAACAACAAGTCAACCGTTTTTCAATCTCCAACGTATCGCACCCCCCTTGCTCGTCACCCGAATGTCACCGATGCTGGAGATTCCGAGGGCGGTCTTCGGGGCCCTCCATGAACGGGTGGAATGCCTCAACATGGCCTGAAAATACTCCCAGGAGGCCTCAAGGTAGCCCCAAGATGGTCCCGGACAGGCCCAAGAGGGCTCCCAGAAGCTCAATTTACGCGATTGACCTGTAGGTTTGAAAGCTTCTGGCGTAACCGCCGTTTCGGGCTTCCGACCGCCCAAAACTTCCGACGAGGCCCCCAAGGTCGCCTCAAGTCGGACCAAGAGACTCCCAGGACCGCCCCAAGACAGCCCAAGGTGGCCTCCCAAGAAGGTCCGAGAGGCTCCCAAGAGGGGCCCCCCACAAGGGGAATCCGAACTGACATGTCGAACCCTTTCCCGAAACATGCCCCAGAGACCGCCAGCAGGAACCCAAGGGGCCTCCGGAGTCGAAAAGACCCCCAAGAGGCCGAAAGGCTCCTGGAAGTCTTCAAATATTGCCAAGAGGCCGCTGAGAGGCCTCCCAAGAGGACCAAAGGAGCCTCCCAAAGAGGTGTCTCGACCTAGTTTGGCCCCAAGAGTGCCCCAAGATGCCATCGATAAGCCTCATCCTCATCCTCCCATCTTCTTCCTCTTGCTCCTACTCCTCCTGCTCCTTCTCCTCCTCATCCTCCTCCTCCTTCTCGCTCGCCACGAGCATACCAACATATAGCACTAGTGAGGCTGAGTGGGCAAGCGGAATGAGCAAAGCGATTAAATTCGGCGGCCCCCCTGCGGGCCTTCGCCGAATTAGCATCCGAGGATGGATGATATGAGGGAAGATGGATGTGAGGGGGGGTGCAAATCATGACCGGCGGCATGTGCGCGGCCCAGCGGGGGGGCCAGGAACGTAATGAAATAAGAAGACGCGCCATGAAATCTGGGGAAATATCATGGCCCACGTCATGATATCCACCGCCCCTAGTCATCACCCCCCTCTTTTCCGCCCCCGATTCCAGGGGGCAAACTTTTTCAATCCAGTCTTGTTGTTTGAGTGCTCTCACGACGAGGGGGGGTCCATGTGTGCGGCATCGCTCGGGCCTCCGGTGGCTGGTTGGCAAGGCTCGGGGCACCCAGCGAAAAAAGTCCCTGGAGGGGCGCAGGCAGCTGGAAAGCACCCGGCGGCCCAGAAAACATATCGAAACATGATTTTGCTTCAAGCTTACCAGCCTCGAACGTATCCCTATCCCTAAGATTGACACGCCAAAAGGCGATGACAATCTTAGGGATTCGCCCTAAAACAATAAGGGCATCCCTAAGATTGGCATCGTGATGAGGAGGTGCCCAGCATAGGGATAGGGATATGTTACAGGCTGGTAACAAGCGATCCCCACCCGAGAACGCGGGGCGGGCACCCCCAAGGGAGCAGTGGCGCACGTTGGGCCTGTCGGCCGCTGTGTGCAGTCGTCCTTCGGCCCAAGGCGCTGTGCGGAAGACCTGGGGAAAGCCAGCACACCGAGGCAGGTCGGGAGCTCTTTCTCGAAAAGCCTAACGAGCTCAGCCTTTCAGGCGAGGAGTTGCACCGATCAGAAAACCCACAAAGGGAAGCCTTGGGACAACGACGACGAAGAAGAATATTCGGCGGTGGATAAACCTCCCTTTAGCAAACCTCTCTGGGGCCGGAACCGACAGACCTGGGCCCGCAAGAATGACGGCCGCGACGCCCTCTCGCGAACCGAAGACGGCCAGTTCGCTAATCGACGTGTCAGGGTAGGAGGTCTATCAACCTCCGAGGGAAGAGGAGAGCTCCAAACAGTACACCACCACCAGCCCTGTCCTGGTCTATCGTGGGCCCTGGGCTGGTGTACAGGCCTCTCTGGCCTAGGCCAGGAGGTCTGTACACCGATCCAGGGCCCAGGAAGTGCCTGGCCAAGGCTGGTGGTGGTGTACAGTTGGCGCCCCTCCGAGGGAAGCCTGGGGGGACCACGACGACGAAGAAGCTCAGGACGACGAGGGAGGCCGCGGGCCGCCCTGTCCTCCGCGCGCGGCGGCGCAAGGCGCGGCAGCAGCCCACTCAGCGCCTCGCCTGCGGGCAGGCGTGCCCCGCCACCCCCTTCCCACACTTTGCACCAGCGCGGAGGGGCCCGGTGGCACGGCGAGGGAAAGACGACGACGACGACGACGACGACGACGACGATCAGGCGGACGACGACGACGACGACGACGACGAGGAGGACGAGGGGGGGGGGGAAAGGCGGCAGGGGTGCAGCGGCAGCGGCCAGCGGCACGCCGCCCATCGGCCGCCCTGCGCGGCGCGGCCGCGCAAGCCCTTTGCACACGACCGCGCCACAAGGCACACCTCACGTCGAAAAAAAAGCCGACGGAAATGAACAGCGAAGGGAACGCACATCTCACATCGACGGCGTCGTCGCCGTCGCCGTCGACGTCGCCTTCGGCATCGTCGTCGATGTCGCCGTCGTCGTCGATCGGCGACCATCCTCCTCTTCGACCATCGAACATCAACACACGAACCTCGAGGAGCGAGGAGGCAGGTTCTGTACGTCGGACGGGGGTGAACGCTAGTTTGCCTCCGTCCGACGGACATCAGCTCGCAAACGCTAGTTTGCTTCCCCAGAGTGACATGTGCGATCCCTCCCTGCGCATCGTAACAGGCCCTGGTGCGCACTCCACTGTTTCCGGCCGCAGTGAATGGCGCTTGCGACGCATTGCTCCTGATGTTCCCCAATCGGTGCATGTACTAGCGGAAGTTGACAGATTTGGCGAAAGTTCCCCGCCGATTTTGGTGGCAGGCGGGGTTCCTGGGTTCCCGGTTCTGGGTTACCGGTTACCGGGCTCCCGGTGATTGGTTCCGGGCCGACTTCGGTGCTGGGTTCTGGGTTCCTGGGCTCCCCGTTTCCCGGTCGATCTCCTGAGTGAAAACCCAGACATGCGACGTCCTGATTTTTTTCAGGACGGCGTCCCCAGAAGTCCCGACCCTTTCCCCGGGACCGGTTTTTCATTCAGAGTCGTTTTTGTTGACGGTCCCGAGGCCCGGCGAGGGCCCCACGAGGCCGAAAACGGCCGAAAACCCGCCGTCCTGATTTTTGTACGACGCGATCATGTCTGGGAACCATCCACTGATTGGGGTTTTTCTCTGGTATAATGTTTTGTTCCATCTGCGGCCCCAGAGTTCCACACAGCTTCCCTGGGGGTAAGTGAGCGCCTTAGGTCCATTCTCGATGGTCCTGGGGCCCGCAAGCGGCTCCCGGAGCCCGCCGGCGCGGGGTTATCCCTGAGCAGACGCCCGGCTGCGCAGTGCATTTCACCTCCCTCGGCGGGGGAACCCGCAGTCGCGCCCTCTTCTGCAAGCCCGGTGGAGGTCCAGCCCACGGTGCGCCCCACGCCTCCAGGGTACGCGGGCGCTTGCCCTGTACAGTCAAAACGTACAGTACGGATGATAAGGACGCAAGACCCTTGGAGGCCGAAGTTGGATGTTTTTGGGCGGCGGGCGACCAGTGATAATGGCAAGGACGGGCCCCTGAGGCAAGGACACAGGGGTACCTTGGAGGAGGGCGCGCGTCCTTACTAGGCGCGCTTGCCCTGCAGTCTCTGAGGGGCAGTTGATGGAGCGGCCTGTAGCTTCTCGAGGCCAGGGCTCGGGGCTCGAGCGACGGGGGCCCGTGCAGGCGGAGGAGGAGGAGGAGGAGGAGGAGGAGGAGGAGGAGATGGAAAGCGTGGGAGGCCAGTGTAGGCTTGCCCTGCAGTCGCTGAAGGGCAATCGATGGAGCGGCCTGCAGCTCCTCGAGGCTGGAACGAACCTGCCATCCATCGCTCGGGCGGCCATCCCCCGTGCATGCTCGGTGCCGTGCGTTATCTTCGGGGGGCCAGATGATCCAGGAGGAAGAGGAGGAGGAGGAGGAGGAGGAGGAGGAGGAGGAGGAGGAGGAGGAGGAGGAGGAGGAGGAGGAGGAGGAGGAGGAGGAGAAGGTTTTTGGGGGCTGGATGATCCAGGAGGAGGAGGAGAAGGAGGAGGAGGAGGAGGAGGAGGAGGAGAAGGAGGAGGATCCAGGATGACTCCTCGATGGCCCCAGCCAAGAAAAAGTGCACGCGCACGAGCGATGGCCCAGTGAAGGAAAGAGCGCAACGGTTGAGCAAGACCCCTCCCTCGAGGCCGGGCGGGGTTCGCGCGAGCGGGCCGCTCCTCCCGGCGCCGCTCGGAGGCGTGCACGATGGCCGGGTCTCTCGGGGACCCGACGCCCCAGGGGAGTGGAAGAAGCAGGGATGGCGGGACTGCTGCTGTCTTCTGCCAGCCCTTGGGGCCCTCGCCGAGTCTGCCCCGGGGAATCCCACCATCCCTCTGGGCGGAGGTGGTTTAGAGAGCCCGTTCTGTTGCACCCTCTGCTTCCCCTTCGGGGAGGGGTTTACCCCTCCCCCTGCCCCCTCCCCCTGGGCCTGGGGGCGGGGGGCGCGGGTGGTTGAAGCGTCGGTTTTGGCCCAAGATGGCGCCAAGACAGCCCAAGAGAGCTCAAGATGACCTCCAAGATCGCTCAAGATAGCCCTCGATGACTCAAGATAGCTCCTAACAAGCCTACACCAGGCCCCAGGATGGCCTAAGAGAGCCCAAAGACAGGCCCCAGAGAGGCCCAAGACGGGCCCAAGAGCGCCCACGAGCGGCGGCCCAAGAGGGCCCCAAGAGGCGACTTTTCGGGTTCAGAAGGGGGGGAGCGTAATTGACGCCGCGCTCTTGTTTGGGCCGTGGCCTCCAAGATTGTCCCAAGAGACCTCCCAGACCCCCCCAAAGAGCCCCACAAGGGCCCCAAGACCCTCGAGGCAAAAGAGCCAAAAAGGTGCCCCAAGATGCACCGCGAGGACCCGGGTCAAGAAACCTCCTGCTCCGCCTCGTTCTCCCCCTATTGCCCCCACAATACTGTATAATAGCAAGTAGGTAGGTGGGCGGGAGAGGAGGAGATATGCGAGAGCAGGAGGAGACACGCCCGAAACTCAAGACAGTCGGTGTGCGTCGCACAATGTGCTGTTTTGGGATGGGCTGGTGGGGATACGCGAAGCGTGATTGGTTGAGACCTCTGGGGTGTCCACGTCATGAACAATCATGGTTTCGGGTATCAGGACGCATTCAATGCTGTCTTGGGGCCCATCAAGTATCCTGCGATTGTGAAAATCAAGCAACAATCTTCGGACGACCGCGGCTGAGTTCTTGGATCGGCGCTTGAGCCCCCCGCTCCTTGGGCGCGCAAAGCGCCAGGAACGGCGCCAGAGGCGCCGCCCAGGGGGGGTTCACCGCCAGTCCAGGAAATCCGCGCGGGCCTCCGAAAGATTGTGTGTTTGCATGCAGCAGGTTCGTGTCGTGCCGACTTCGGCGTTGGTTCCAGACACCTCGCTGGATCGTTCAACCTTGAACGATCGGCGGTTCCCGAAACGTTCAAATCGTTCCTCATTGAACGATTCTGGGTCGCCCGCGGCGGTCATCAACGTTGAACGCCGCCGGCGGGGTCGCCGCCGGTCGACACGACACGAACCTACCGTATGCCTGCGATGCAAGATGCGAGCGGGGATCTATTCATATCCACCGCTTGGAAAACCAAAGTCCCTGGACACCAGGAAACGGTGAATGCCTCCAGAGGGGGGCATAGATATATACGGATATGCATTGATGCGTACACATATAATACACACCACATACACATAAACATAGATATATCCATGTAGTCATACGTGATACATACGTCGCCCCCAGGCAGTGGTTGCACTTACGGGCTCTTATTCGTGAACAAGGAACTGGGCCGTGTGATCGGTGTGGCGGCTATGTCGTCGCCGTCGCCGCCCCGTCGTCGCCTCGTCGCTGCCCGTCGTCTGGGCCGTGTGGTCGGTCTGGCGGCTATGTCGTCGCCGTCGCCGCGTCGTCGTCGCGTCGTCGCCGCCCGCCGTGTGGCCCTGAATGTCGGCCCGGCGGTTCCGTTGCCGCCGCTGCCGCCCCGTCGCCGTTTCCAATAGAATGCACAGCATGGGTTGCACAGCATGCGTTGCACCAAATAGTACACCACATAGCTTGCACCGCATATTTTGCACCACGTGGTCTGCACCAAGTAGATTGTACAAGTCAGATCGCACCACATGGATTGCACCATAGAGATTGTGCAGCATGGGTCGCAACATATCTTGCACATCGTAGACCACACCACCTACGTATATTGCACCACGTCGCTTGCACCATATCTCTCTCTCTCTCTCTATGTATTGCACCACGTAGGTCGCACCACATGAATTGCTCCACAGCGCTGACCAACGCAGAATGCACAGCATAGACCTCACGACTTATACTGCAGATTATAGGTGGCACAACTTTGTTTACACCACACAAGGTGCACCGCAGAGATTGTACACCCCTTGTGCACCGCATCGATTGCACTGTATGTGTTGCCGACCTGGGTTGCTGAACTTTGGGCCAACGCTGGCCAACACAACACATATGCATGCGTGATTGACTCTACGCATAAAACAACTGTTACGCGCGTGGCCAGGCACATGGAACACGTCGTGCATGGTGGGCGTGACTGCGTGCGTGTTGTGTGTTGCGTTTGATGTGTGTGTGTGTGTTTGGTGTGTTTGATGTAGTGTGCGCGCGTTGCGCGTGCTATGCGTGAGATCTGGGTGTGCTGTATGCGGGTTGCGTGTGTTAGGTGTGTTGCGCATGGTGCGTGTTGTGCGTATGGCGTGCGTGTTGCGTCTTGCATCTGCTGCGTGTGCTGTATGATGTCTGTGGTGTGCGTGGGGGCTGTGCAATGTGTAGTCTGTGTGTTGTAGTTGGTGTGTTTGTGGATGTGGAATTGGTGTGTGGGTTGCGTGTGTTGTGGGTCGGCGGCGTGTGTGTGCGTGCGTGTGCGCGTGTGTGTGTGTGTTGTGTATGTGGTATTCGCGTGTCGTGTGCTGTGGGCTGTTTGCATGTTGAGCGTTTTGTGTTATGTTGGTTGTGTGTTGTGTGTGTGCGTGCTGCGTGTTGTGTGTGTGCTGTGTTCGTCGGTCTTCGATGTTGCAGGGACTCCCCAAGCGAGGAAACGTATGCAAACT